TCCCTGTATACGCCGTATAAGGGAGTAGTCCTCCCCCGAGCACTCTCCCCGGCGAAAAATTACACTTAACCACTGATTTCATCATCTAATACTTACGTTAATGCTTTTTAAAATAAACCTTACTCAGATACAACTTTCATCTTTTGCAATTCAATCTCGTACTCGCTTTTCAATCGTTTTAAAAATGTACATTCCAAATGGTTTTTTAAGGGTGGCAAAGGGTATTTTGGTGACTCGTGATCGGCCTTTTTTATCCCGTGAAATGTGAAACGGCTAACTTTTTTGTCAGGAATCGTGATTTTTAAAGTGGCCGTGAAGCGAAATTTTTTTAAATTATTTTCCTTGAAACAACAAATGAATGTTTAATTTGCTGTGAATCGTGATTTTAAGTATGTCGTAGATATTTTCAACACCCGTTCACCCGTTCTCGAGCCGATTTTATTTTTTCGTAAACTGTGAAAGGACCGTTTAACACCCTCTTATGTCTGAGCGTTTTCTTACTAATTTTATGGCAGACCTGCCTCATCAAGGAAGGTATGTATATACTCAAAACCAACTCGGAGAAAAGGTTGCTTTAACAAACACTACATCTTTGATTGAAAAATGTCAAAACAGATCAAGGATATCATTTTTCTTACCATAGCGTCCAGCTCTGTACACAAAGGCACACACATAATCCAACTTCTCAGGTACTTCTGCAATGTTCAAAGACCCGTTGAAGTTTTACTCTTATTGAAAAGTAAGCGCGGGTCAGAAAAGAAAAGAGAGCTTGAGAATCGACATTTAATGCACGTAATATAATTAATATTATAAACATTCAGGCTAATCGACGCGTGCAAATCATGGTAAACCGGGAGGCCGGCAAACCGTGGTAGAATTCATTCTCGTTGCTATTTCAATTAAGGCTTTTATGAACGACAACGAATAAATGTAATATCGGCAGAGAAAAAAGAGGAAAACTTACCGAAAAGTTACGAATTGGCTCTGCTTTACGGCAAGGCGAAATGAAGACTCTGCAACACAGCGACAACACCATGTGGTGGTTTAGCGCCAATCTTTACATTCGATGACGCCATGCCCCCCCCAGCAGATCCCTGTTCCATTTGCGATTTGTATTTCTGATGGTTTCGGCGAGATAGCCTTCTCGTCACGCCACAAGCAAGCTCGACGATTTGACGCAACGCTATACTGTTTGTGTACTGTATTGCAAATGAATGCTGAGCTATTCGCAATTGAGCTAGTCCATTTCACAATTTCATGTTCTAACTGGACATACGCAACTAGACCGTTTATCATTTGGCTAAACTATTCATGTGCGGGGCATTCTGTTTCATGAAGGAAAACTAACCGTCTATAATTTGGCCACGCCATTCCTTTATCAGCTATGCTATCCTGCCGCTGATCCTTAGACCAGCTTTTTAGTTGCAGATCTATTTCACATCCTTGTAGTTTTGGTGATGACGGCCGCCCATACAAAATGCCTTATTGGTGTTATGCTGACTTAAGACTCGATAAAGCGGGTGATTAACCTATAAAACGATTAATTCAAGGTTTTGCAATTCTCAAAAAAGGAATTTTGATGGTATCTATAATTGACTTAGCTTGAAATGTTTTAACTCAAAGGCATTGAGGGAATGAACACTTTCTGACTTTTATTGTGTACATCTTACAGACTCATGTTCATTTATTAATGTTTAATCATGTATTACATATACATTTACATCAGGTAGAACAAAATGATATATTTACAGTTCACAGTCCGAAAGGTCAAGGTCCGATTCGATTGCCCTAGAACCTTCTGAGCGTCTCTGATTCCTCCTCTTTTTCCTTTGAGTTTCCTCTTCAGATGGCCTGTGGTCTCTTTTCGTTTTGTACCAGTCAGAAATCCTGTGATGGTGATAGAAGACTCATCCCATCGATGTCAACTTGTTTTTATTGTCAAGACTTGCATTTGAAGAAATGCTCTACAAATAAGAAATGCAAAAGGCATTCTCAATGTCCTATTCGTTAAATAACAAATTTAATTACAACATATACTTACGTCGGTCAAAGTTGGACAATCTTCCACCATGGCTGGTGTCACAACGAAGCTGTATGTTGGTTTGCCAAAGCCCACATCTCATTTCCCATGGCCAATGAAGAAGTTTATCACGGAATTTCACGTAGGTATGGCTGTGTCACCTCGCAATCACGCTGCCATTTCTTGATGCAAGATCTAAAAGTTAAAAAATTAAATTTCCACGGAACACTTTTTTTTTTTTTTTTTTGCGATAGTTTATTTATTCCATCCAACAGAAAAGATTTATTTATAAAATTTATACAAACCCGCCATGCTGGAGAGCAAGCCGATCATTATACCCCTACTAAGAAATAAAAATAAAGCGACTCTAACTAGCAGCTTGACTTTGCTTTGTTTTGGGTGCGAAAACAATAACGAGCTTGCCCTGCAGCATGGCGGATTTTGTGCCATGTGACCGTTACTTTTTGCAAAAGGCTTATTAATATAAAACACACTTATTTATTATTTAAGTTGTCTGATTCCGTCTTACTTATATTCTGTGACGTATTGTAGGCGGCTAATAAGAATTGGACTACTTTTGTTCAGGTTTTCTTTTTGCTCCTCGTTAGGGACAAGGGACATACTTGCTCCCGTCTTTTTTTTTTATTTTTGATTTTTCATTCGTTGTTTCAACTTCCGTTGATGTGGTAGTGGAGCTAGGCTCGAGTCTGCAGCCGTTATCGTGATTGTGGGACATTTTTCCCCAAACGATATTTTGATTGGATACTCAACAACTAAAGGAAAACAACAATTTATTGGTAAACTCCATTCAAAGTTTAGCCAACTTGAAGTTACCGTTTCTTACTAAGACATGGAGGGAGTATTTTGACATATTCCTTTTATTATTTAATATGGAGAATTGACACACAGTTAATACATTGAACAAACCATATACAGATATATGCCCCGTATTATTCAGTGCAAGTTAATTAATAAAGACGACAATTGTAGACATGTTTGCTTACTTTGCAGTCTATTTTTCCCATTAAACATGTCTGGTAGCTCCAGGGCGAACTGATGATCGATTTCGATGGCTATGTGGTCTGTTCGTCCACTGATTTTTGTTTCTCTGTCGATGAGACAAAATAAATCCTCTTAAAACGAAGATTGAGAACATATTTTCTTTTTTGAATAGACCATGCATACATATTTTCTGATAATTTACGGGCCTGCTTCCTCAAATTAAATAATGGATTTTTCTGAGTCTCGAATTGTTCTAATTCTTAATCAATTTATTGATAAACCAGCACTTTTGATAGGCTTGATGTTTTCTTCAGCTTCTATATAAAACAAGCGAACAAAATAACCTAAATTTATCCATTTATTTTTAAATTGCCAATGGCAAGTTAGGAAATTTACACACCTATTCATTTGTACTTCTATCCTATCCCCAATTCCTAAGTTCTTTGCCGTTTCCCGGAGATCAGCAAATTACTACGAAAGCGAACGGAAACCACAGTATTAAAAAAGAGTAGTGTACTTAGCTCTTATGGGTTTATTACAAATCAAATAACACGAGGTTCTTTGGCAAGGCCAACTCAACTCGATTAGGTCGATTAGCATCTACTAACAAAAGGCCTAAGAATACAAACCGCTACTACTAGACTGATACAAAGAGATGTTGGTTATGGAAAGGTTTTGAATTACCAAAGAAAGTTCGTATGAAGTCTATGACCAGCAACGTGTTTGATTACCCTACGAGGACATCTCGTAGGGTAATGTTTGATACTGTAGAAATTTGAATGATGTTGGTCCGTTCTTAAAAAAAAACTGACTCCCCTTGAAACGCTCTTTTTTTTTTCTTTTTCGTTGCTTCCCTGCTATGGGACAGACGCACATGGTGGTTAGTCATGATCCTCCTCACCGATCGCGAATTTCCAATTTATTAAAGCTTTAGATATCGCGTATTCTAAGTGTATAAGGAATGTAAGTCTTCTTTAAGTCTGTATGGTCCTAAACGAGCCATATATTATATATATAGGATACAGCGATTAAGGTATTGTGATGTTAATAATGACATTGGTACGATTGACTTACCAAATACTGTTTTAAGGCTTGTGCAGGCTTCTCTCTTCCCTTTTACTTTGCATCTAAACTTGGTGTTCTTTCTGAAATTCTCGCCGCCTTTCCCCTCTTCGTCAAAAAACACGACACAATCCACAATCGCTTATTGAGGTCCTTGACCTTCTTCCGTTCTGGCACGTTTGGTACGTTGGAAGACACGGTTCGCAAACTGACCTTGACCTAAGAGCTCCACATTGCAAGGTCAAAGTCTTGAGCGTCATTCAGGACGCGTGAACCCCCTTGCGATATTTCAATTGGTTTGTCACGCATTCCTCTCAACTTTGAACTTTGCGTTCAGCGGCTATTCGAGATCAGTTGAGGTGCGCAATTGCCGCTCAGATCAAAGAGAATTCGGAACCCACAGAGGCCAAACTAGAAAAACCAAAACCCACATTGGATATCAAATCCGAAAACCCGTTAGCATTTTCTGCGAAAACCGAAAACCTAATGCTAAATAATGGAAAATCCGCAAACCGCCATGAACGCCAAAACCGAAAAACGGAAGTTTTTTGCCTCAAAAACCGAAAAACCGATTTAAAAATAGCCAAAACCGCAAAACCGAAAATCCCAGCTCCTCTTTTAGAGCAGGCAATGAGATAACCCCTGGGTTCCGTATGCAATGAATCAGTTCGTATTATCAGGTTTACCTCTTCTAATTATGACTGATTTGCCAAACTTTGATTCTGGCCAGGCATTATGATAAACAATTGGCAAATTACAATGAGCTTTATGCTGGCACCGCATTTGCCAATTTAGTTTATTATGAAATTTCTGCGCAAGTGTGTGCTCACAAACAATAACCCTTTTATACAACTTAACATATGCCAACACTTGCTTTATTGCTTCTCGAGGAGATTACTTTATATGTTTTGCCTACCTTGCAGCTCAATTTCGACAACTTTTTGCCTGCAGTATCCCTCATAATCATTCTGAGCCTCACAAGTGTAGTTTCCAAACTGTTCCATAATCAACCTCTTGAGTATTAATGTGCAGCGTAGCTTTATGACTTTTGATGTACCCTGCAGGCATTTGGCTCCAACTGATCTGCCCTGAGGATCATACCACTGAATATACTTGGTCCATCTCCTTGGATAAAGCCGGTGGTCATACCTTGGCCACGCTATGCAAGTCAAGTTAATATCTGCACCTACTCTTAATGTGCGGTTTGGTGGACTTGAGAAGATTTCCATTTCAGGTATCACTAGACGGAAAAGTTAAAAAAAAATTAATTAAATGTGTAATCCTCGAGGTAACCTAAATCAATCATAACGATGATTCAATCAATAAATTCATTACAAAAATTTATTTGTGGATCAAGTATGTAACTTAAGATTTGTAAACAAAAATGCAGTTGCTACTAACCAGTTTTACTATTGCATCTGTTGCTTATTTCCTCGGATGAAAGGTTGCTTATAGCACTGGTAACAAGAAACAGCATGAAGAAGTTGCCAGCGTTTCCAAGCCAATGTGTGTTTAGCATTCTGGTCATTAAATGTTCGTCCACTTCCTCATACAAAAGTTACCTAAATGTAAAATCGTCTGTTTGCTATGGCATGATGTAAAACGCCTTTTTTAAAACCAAAGCGGGCAGCAGGTGATGGAAACTTTTCTCTTCATCAACAGATTAATTGTAAAGTTATTACCAAACTTCCATAGGGAAAATGAGCCGAAGTGCAAAATGATAGGCGAGGGAGAGGGTTAAACCTGCTTTTGAGGATGTGGCTTTATCATTATTACTATTATCAGACTTATTATCATTACTTTTACCATCATCATCATAATGATAGCTATCATCATTATTATAATTATTATTATAACTATTATTATCATCGTTATTATTGTATGCATTTTGGCATATGAGTCAATTTTAAAGAAGCCGTGATAGCAGTTGCTATTTCTATTAACCGAGCAAAAATAATCCCATTATTTCCCCCAACTGGTCCAAAAAGCTTAAAAGAATAGAAGCATGAGACCTTATCTCAGAAAGTCGATGTTTTGTGACCAAGAAGATGCAATGAACAAAAAAGACAACCAGATGGCTTATAAGTTGTCTCACGTAAAATGTCATATCTTGTTTCCTACGCAACCGATGCTCACGAAACCTGACCTGAATGTAAATTGAAGATCTGAGTAAAGCCTCATGAAAACAGCAGGTGAGAATTTTTCATAAAAGACTGAAGGGAAAAACGTTAAAGAAATGAGAAAACCTCATTCACTTACCTTGTTATAT